CAAGTATGATCAATAAACAATAAAATCATAAGCTAACTAAATAAATGAATTTTGTGTACGAAATATCATATTTTACAAATTAAACATAATTCATACTTCGGGGATACATGGAAAATTTGGTCAGACAGGAGGGTTGAACAATATTTTTTACATATATATTTAAACATTTGTTTAGCTGATGATCACTTGATTTCAATGCTCTATCAAGCAATATCACATGTTGCTTCTGTCTATTAGCAGTAAGTAAAATTAAAGTAAAACCACATCTGTTATCTCAATTTCATCCAAAATAAACCAAATCAAGAATTTTGGCAGATAGGCCTGTCAAAGAGGGAATTGAATAGTGGCTCACCATTTAAATAAATGAACAAAAGGATCACGTAATATTTTTTAAAAAAAAGCTAAATAAAAATATTTATTTCTCTCCATTTAGTTGAATTGACCTTAATATTCATTTTAACAATGCTGCTTCAGATTTCTTACTTTTCATCAGTAAATAACTGTTAGATTTGATGTCACTTTAAACAAAATTTTCGCATATTTTAGATAATTACTTATTGCGTTGTTGATTCTTTAAATACTCATCCTTCGGAACAAAGTGGGTCAAATTATCCTTTAATAAGAATGTTTGAACCAGTTCTTTAGCTCTTAAAAATTATTTTTGAAACAAATCTTTAAATTTGTCAGTTTGTAATTTAAGTAAAAAATATTGATGTAAACGGGAGGAAAATATTATTATTAGGTAATTAATAATTTCAACTTTGAAATTTATTATGTTAAAAAATGTGTAAATGAAAAACTGTGCAAACCTTCCAAATGTTTTCCCTAACCACAAAGTTGATAAAAACATTTGCTTACCGCCAAAGGTGAAAATTTTATGTCTTCTTAATATCCTACGAAAATTTTGATATCGAAATTCAAAGTTCACGGATTCATGTACGATTGATTTGGAAAATAACAAAATAAAATAAATAACAACAATTAAGCAAATTAAACAATTAGGATAGTTGAAACATTTAGGATAGTTAAAGGAAAAAAAAGCTTACATAATAAATTAGAAAAAAATATCGAAATTTTGTAAAAAGAAAAAAAAAATCAGAATTGAACGAGCACCATTTCAATGACAATGTGACACAGAGAAATCTCGAAACACAGTGTCCCAAAAAAATACTAACAAGACCCTCTCCCTATTTACAGCCCTAGAAATTTTTTGTTCCATGCAATTTATGACCAGAAATCAGAAAAGGGTGTTTCTGTGGATATCAGATCTTTCCAATGTAAGGACAAAAGAGCCTAAGGCAATTTAAAGAAGCTGAAAACATTTTCCCACAGTTTAAAGTGAGACAGCTATTTGACAACTCTATGGGTGGTATAACTAGGATAGCAGGGATATTTTCATCAGTCGAAAGAGCGTTTTATTGCTCATTTGGTCAGAAAAGTGAAGAGTAACAATTATCTTTTGTTAAACAATTCGATTAGAGTTTCAAAAGCATACGAAAAAGTAAAAAAGAGAGAAAAAATGTATTTAGGGTCCCAACTCCAAATAAAACTTTAAAAAATAAGTTTAAAGAAAGTGGGATCTGGGGGCCCTTGCCATCTCGGGGCCCCAAGCTACAGCTTATTTAGCTTATACGTAAATCCGGCCCTGCACACGTGGAAGTTCATTGACAAGGGTCATGAAACTTTTTGAGTCTATGTAACCATTTATGTTATTAATTTTAATCTATATTTATTATTTTATGAGTTATTAAACATCAAAATGGGTTCGGGACTTTATAAACACCCTGTATGTCAATATATTAGAAATACAATATTTTTTAAGTAATAAAACATAGTTTATTAACATAGTCATTTAGTCAGCCATTGTATATCTTAATCGTGTTTAAGAACAAAAACTAATTTACACAGAAAATTTCATTTTTAAAGACTTAGCATAATTGTAAGGCAAGTATAATCATCCTTGAAAAATGAAAAACAATAAAAGAATAAAATTCTAAAAAATGTAGCCATATTGCAGCAAAATTTCGATAAGAAATAATGAAAATAGATGTTTTCATTAGCTACTGTTATTTACCAAGATTTTTCCAGGTTTTGGAAGACAAAATTTATTTCTTGACTTTCCCCCCTGAAATTAAATTCCCTGCCAACTCTTAGTTTTCATGAACCTCTCTGAGAACCCTGAATTTATGTGTATTGATTAGCAAACCTCAAATAAATTGAAACCAAAAAAATTCTATATTCTATGACAATTTCTATATTAAATCTAGTTTCACTAGATCCAACATCTAAAGAAAATGCTAAAATCTTAGACAGGGTGAGTATCTCTCAACAACAAATAAGCACCTTTAAAGTACTTTCTAAGCACTCAAAAAATATTTTTAAGCCCTATAAACATTAACAAAATGCAAAATAATTTTCAAAGCACTATATACATTAACAAAATGCAAAATAAATTTCAAAGACTTTACATGATCTAACTAGTTTCTGACAAAGAACTCTTTTCTCGATTATATTTCAATTTCAGAAGGCCGAAAATTAAGCCTCAAATGAAGAGGTAGGTACTTTATTTACCACCGCACTAGAGCTGCACAATGGGCTGAAATGAAGAATATCTTGCAAAATGTAGGAGAGTTGAACATGAGAGTACAAGAATTTCACCAAACCCAGCTCATTAGACGGATATGCAGACTCTCGAGTATTACGGCAAGCATGTAAAATAATTGGCACTTTGATACGCTATGGACTGATAATACGCCCAAATGGATTGTGAAAAATATTGAACAGAACAATGTGAAAAACCACGATTTTACAAAATACACGGCAAAAATCGGCATGGTAAAAAAACAAAAAACTCATTTTTGAAAAGGAAAAATTAAGAATTTTTTAAAAATACCCCATGAAAAAAGCACTTTTTAAAAACACTACACACCATGTTAGAGAATTAGTTAGCATACTTAAGAGATTTAAATAAAATGTGCAAATAAATAAATAAAATGTGCAATGTTTCAAAATAAGTTAAATTTTCGAGGTACTTTTCAAAATTAAAAATCTTTTTTTTTCTTCACAAAAAAACTTTATAAACAGAAATATACAATTATCATAAGAAAATACAGACTACATTCTCACTTAGTTTCCACAGCACTAACATATATCATAACATGAAATAAAGAAATCATTAGAAAATTATTTTTGTTCTTAGCAAGACCTAATGCAAGACCTCACACAGCAAAAAATAGTACCAGAATTAGTGTCTGAGATATATATNTATATATATATATATATACAGGAAAAAAAAGAATGGTTAGAGAGTGGCTTTAACTGGCATTCACCTAAAGGAGATGAACTTTAGAAACGTAATTTAATACAATTCATTGGATAACATTTATGTACAATCTTTCAATGCATTTCGTTTAAGAGACACTAAACAAATTTCTTTATCAGTACAAAGTTCTAAAAATGAAATTTTTTTTTGTTGAAAAAATAAATAAAAGTAATAGTTTATGAACAATACAAGCACCTATGACTTTACAATTACATTTGATAACTGATGCACACCTCAAAAACTTACAGCAACAATAACAGATAATATTTATTTCCTTACAAATTCCATTTTTAAAATAATTACAAATTCTAACTAACTGTTTAAAATCATTTTGTAAACAACTATTACAAACTAATCATTAAAAGGTCAAAATCATTTATTTTCATTCAAATTCAATATCAAGCTACCTCCTGAACTTGAAAAGACAAAGTTCTAATTTAATAGTAAGAAGAATTAATCAAATTTAGATCAGGATAAAAAAAAAATTTAAAAAAAAAACATTTCTAAATTATATTTGACAGAAAAAGACTTTTAATTTTTTGTTTTGTTCACAAACTATGTATTTAATGAGTTTTAAAAGTACTTATATTAAAATAAATAGAAAACTAAGTAATAAACTAAATTGGTATAATTAAACAAAAAATTATTTCACATACAGTTTATGGAGATATTTAAACATTTTGCAATATTTCTTTGACTTTTTTTTAAATTTGCTTTCTTTGAACATTAAGTAACAGTTTAAATAAATTTCCTTCTCATTATTATTCTTGATAAAAAGTCACATATAACAAATAAACTTTCAAAACAGTACATTGAAAAATATTTTTGAATTTAAACGAAAATTTCTAAAAATATAAAGAAGAGATATCAACTGATTTAAATTAAGTTAACCCAGCAAAGCTTACAATAATTTATAATCCACTCATTTCAATTAATAAATAATCTTAAAATGCAGGAATATGCATTTCTGCTGGTAGTATCTAAACTTTTAGAGTTATCTAGAAAAGAAATAACACTTCTAAAACATATAAAGCACTTTCCTAGACAAGTTTAAAACTAAAAATGAAATGAGAAAATGGAGTAAAAAGAAAAAGAGGGAAGTTAAAATCTTTGAGCAATAGTAGAGATTTTACATTTACTATTTTTATTTTTACAAAAATTAAGAGAGGTTTAACAAAGATATTGTATGATATATTTACCTTTTCACAAGATAGTGTCTATAAATAGATATAGAATAATAATAGAATAATATAGACTAAAATTTTTTCAAAGAAATCAATTTTTGAGGAAATATGATTTGTACCTGTTTTTGTATGCTACACATGAAGAATTTATAAGAAATTCCAAGGGATTACTTTGGAATTTTTCGTATAATAAAATAATAAGTATTGTATTTAATTACAGTATTGATCAATTGGTATTCTACTTGTAGAAAATATTAAATCAATATTTCAAGAGTGCACAAAAACAATTAAATTAAAAGAAACAATGGATAGACCTATGAGAAATTATGTAATTTGCAATTTTTTTTCTCTGTACAAATGATTTAGAACTAGTAGAAATTACAAACAGGGCACCTGCTACATTTGCAGGGGTCTGTTCTAGTCAAATTTACTACCGTTTAGCAGTACCTTCACATATTCAACTTTAGGAAAAACGGTAGTTTCACAAACTACTTATTCTTGAAATTTTATTTTTGTACCCCGTAAAAAACTATAAATCCATATTTTACGTTGACTTTTTAATATAATTTTTAATTTTCACAAATTAGGTCTAAATTTTCACAAAAAAGGTACCTCTCAGAAAAATCTAGACAGACCCCTGATTTCAGATTTTCAAATCCATGACTTTTCCTGATTAATTCCAAGAATTTTTCATGACTCAATGAAGTAACTATTTTCTCCGACAAAAACGCAACAATAAATTTAAAAAGCATTATAGTAACATTAATTGAAATGATAGGCATGACCAAAACTGTTATACTCTGCATCTTCATATTTATAGATTTCAAATTTAAAAAACAGAGTAAAAGAAAGAGTTGAAGCTATAAAATAGCTGGGGAAAAAATTAAAAAAAAGCAAAAAACTTTTTTCTTTTTTTCTACAGAATAATATTCTAAAGATACATAGGAAAGGAAAGAAATACTAGTAATTTTTCTGTTCTCATTTTCGAAAAGAAAAAAAAAAATTCGCCAATGACTGGCTTGCTTGAAATAGAATTTTAAATATAAAAAATAAATAATTAAAATTCTGAAATCACAGAAATTTAAAAGATAATTTACTCTAGAAATGTTTTTTCTTTCATTTTTTGAAAGAACATGATAAAAACATTTTTATTTTAATAAAATATGACTGTGAGTGGGGATTTTGTTAGAAATTCAGATAGTCGGAACACCATGAAATAGGAGAGGGGGGGGGGGCGGTAAATTCATTTTAAAACAGGGTTGCCACTCAAACCTGGAAATAAAATTCCCTGTGTTTTCCCTGAACATATATTAAGAGGAAACAACAATTACTGTGCTCTTGTGTGAACTATAGTGGGCAAACTATATTTATTAGTTTCAATTGCTGGAAAAACAGCTTTACATACTTAAATAATGCTACAGTAAAAGAAATAGTTTAGTATAGCTGAAATATCATGGTTAAATATCGCATAAATTACACTTTGAGTGGTCACCATTTTTTAAAAGACAAAAATAAACAAAATTCCATGTATTTTCCCAGTTTGTAAAGAAAAAATAAAAATTCCCTGCGTTTTCCAGGTTTTCCGTGTGGAGTGGCAACCCTGCAAAAAATTAGATTTTTCGGCCACCTAAATCCATGACTTTCCATGATTTTTTTAAAAAGAAATAGTTAAAATCATGACAAATTTTTGTTCCATAACGTGACTTTTTATGATTTTTCCTGACTTTCCGGGTACGCAGATACCCTGTAAAGAGTGAAAACAAAATAATACCTTAGCAGCAGGTTGTTTCAAGGGTGGGGGATCATTCCAACCAGGTTTCACTTCTCCATAAGAACTAGGCAAGGACACGGGTGGCGGAGCTTGATTAGAAACAGGTGCCTGGGGTGCTGAACATAAAAACATCATTTAATATACAGTTGGACTTCTATTTAACGAACTTCCATTTTGCGAATTTTTTTAAAGAACCAAGAACATTTTGGAAATTTTTTCGTAAAATAATTTACAAACAGCGAAGTGAATTCTCAATTTAATGAAATTTACAGCGATATTTAACAAAAACTTTCCTTATTTAAAATTACAGTAGAGAACCGATTATCCAGAACGATCAGGACCATCGCTATTCCGGGTAACTGATTTTTCCAGTTTTCTGAATCGATACAAAAAGCCGTTTTTTTTAATTGTCAAACTCAACTAAAAAAAAAATATAATTAGAATAATTTTAAAAAACTCTTATATCTTAGGACAGTGTAGGGAACTAATTATTTCTAAAATGATGGTAAACATCTTTTTTATAAAAAAAAAAGAATTCTTTTTATTAGAAAGGAACCTTGTACAAACATATTTTGAGAAATACCTTTATAGGGTTCCCACTCTTTCAACAGAGCAAAAATTAAACACTTTTAAGGACTTTTTTTGAAGAAATTAAGGACTTTTTTGAAAAATTAAGGATTTTAAAAAAATAGTGTGATTGTTTATCATTGAATATACATATGCCACCAGTGACAATGTGAATTATTTACCTTCCTAAAAAATCAATAAATAAAAAGTAATTTTATTACAATGTAAGCACTGATATAATGGCATTAATTAATAGGCTCACCAAAGAATTACCAGGCAAACCTGCTTACCCTTAAGAAATAAAAATAACAGCGTAACAATCTAAAACTTTAAATTTATATTGTAACAAAACAAATTATAAATACTAGTTACCAAATATTTAACTTTCTTGTAAGAAGCAAATCATGCTTTATTGTTAGTACCCAGGAAAAAATATTAAGTATTTTTGAAAAAACACTTGGTTTTTACCAATAAACCCCAGATTCTTGATGAAAAACCTAGGTGGGTTGGGATTTTTCAAACCCTCTTTCTTACAAATCTGTTTACTTTTTAATGAAAGAACCAATATATTAATGAAAGGGCATGTTTTCTTCCCTTTGCCTTTCACACACATTAATTTTTGTCTCTCTAAAATGCTTTACCCTCGATACATGGTCTAATTCTAAGTGATAAAAGAACTCCATTTTGCTTTAAAAAATTGAACTGAAAATTTTTTCCTATCAACCATAGTGATGCTAAAAAATTAAGGACTTTAAAAACCTTGAACCAAAATTAAGTACTTTTAAGAGCCCTTTTTCTCCAAAATAAAAATTAAGAAGTTTTTAAGGACCGTGGGAACCCTGCTTTAATTTATATTAATAGTTATTTCTAATCAATGAAAAAAAAATTGGCAACATGTGTCAAAAAGTGGCGCGCCTGGTCACCAGTGGTATACTGGGTAAAAAAAAAAAAAAAAAAAAAAAAAAAAAAAAANAAAAAATGGCCTTTATTGGAGGTAGTCAGGAAAATGTGGCCCTCTAATGGGAGGAAAATTAACATTATGTCTATGGGGAAAATTTTCGTTCCTCAAAATATTGGCCCTTAATAGAGGTGGCCCTTAAGTAGAGGTGGCCTTTAGGAGAAGTTTCACTGTATATATCGCCAAGAAAAATGGCTGATTAAAACAGAGGTGCTAGGAATTAGAATTAGGGATTCTAAATTTATTTGTCTCAAAAAAAATATTTCTTAGTAAACAATGTGAATATTTCTATTACCAATATTTAATGATTCATAATTTGTCTGAAAATCAAAAAAGTATGTCTTTTGGATTCCAAGAGCTGAATTTTCAATAACAAAATTGCATAAAGAGATCTAAATTGAATAAAAATATGATACAAAGAATAAACACAGTACAAAAAAATCTATTACAATAAAATGAATTTGTGAGTGCGTTTTTCTTATAACTCTAGAAACGTTTGTGCTATCGTTCTGAAACAATTCAGCCCTAGACCCTAAAAATCCTTCAAATTTTTTTAATTAGATCGTTCAGCAGAAATGTTTGAAGGAAGAAAAAAAAAAGAATTTTAAAAAAGAAAGGTTTAGAAAGAAAAAGAAAGGTTTAGAGCTAGCACCATTAACATAAATAAATTTGCAGACCATTATAAAGGTTTCAGACATTTTTATTTTTATTCATGAAGTTAGAAAAACTCAATGATTATCTTGAGTGTGGTAGCATAGGCATACATTACCAAATTAGTATTTCTAAAGTAATTTGAAATCACTGTAAAAGTTCTAAAAAAGTCAGGATGGTATCAGCAATAATAAAAAGCAGAACAAGCATTTGACTTGTACATAACTAGTCCAATTTTTTTCCAGCTATGGTTATAAACAAGTTAATTGGAAAATAAAAAAAATTTAATCTTTCAAAAAATTTAAAGTTTTGATGCAATGGTTGCAGTCCTAAAAATATTAAAATTTTCTAGAAAAATGTACAATCACACTTTGATAATAAATGAATGAAATACCAAAATAGGTAATAAAGTAACAGTTCAGATTTATTATTAGCATGATATTACACATCAAACACATATAACACACATTGATCTTTATTTCGGATTAAGGACAAAGAATTTTTTCAGGTTTTCTGCGACAAACTTCCCTAACACTAATATTTTGCTTTAAGATACTTTTAATTATAACAATTACTAGTTTAAAGTAACAGAACCGTTGTGCTTACAGAAGAAAGTATAGAAGGAAAATTTATAAAAAGTTTTTAACTGTAAAAGTAATATTTTTTTAATTACAATATTATAGGCAATATTTTCGCGTTTTGCTGCCGGAAAAATGTACTAATTATTTTCTCGTTCGAATTTTATAAGTCATCACACAAATTGAAATTCGTAATTAATTTAAATAATAATAAATTAAAATTCGTGCAGAAATTAAAAAATCGTGAAATCTGTACGTAACTCCCAAAATAAAGATCGACAACGAAATCACACAAATAGGACTCTTTTAAAAAAGAGATACTAAAATAAGTATATGTAAAACAGGGTGTTTCTAAATGAAAGAAACATCATTTCTACTTTCGCGATTTCTGATTTTTTATTTTTATATTATTAATTTGAAATTCTAGCTAATGACAGTTATCACCGATTTTTTTTAAAATCACAAATGAGAATTGAAAAATCACGATTTTCATTTTCCCCCTCTGATGCACAAGAAAGGCATATTTAAAAAAAAATTCTGCAGAAGAAAAAAAACTTTTTTCGAAAAATTAAGCAGAGAGGAAAAACAAAATTTTCCCCATCCCAAATGAAAAAATTTTCTGCAAAAACACTAACGTTCTGCGACAATGTCGCCGTAATTCTGCCACAGGGAATTTAATTATGGTCAAAAATAAGAGATTTATGTTTTTAACGCTTGCAAAACTAGTATAAAGTTTAACATTTTCTGGAGTTTAAAATAAAATATCGAATAGAATAACTGAAATTGAAAAGTGAATTTTAAGCTTACCATCATCTGTATAGGGAAAAAGAGAATATACTTTTGACAAAGGAAAATTTACCACTGTCTAACAATTTAAAATTATAATTGAGCAGTTATAATTTAAAAAAAAACATATCCTATTTAAAAGGTGTAATGATAAATAAAATATTCATAAAATAAACGAATTATTCAAGTATTAATAATAGTGAGTGCAACATCCTACATAGAAGATTAATAATATTCGAGTAAAAATCTTTAAAAGTTATGAAAATTTTCTAGCGGGTGAAACTAAGTTTTAAGCACACACAATCTTAAAACATTATAAGGAAGATTAACAAAATCTCATTTACTTACATAAAAAAAATTTAAATAATATACATAAAAATTTTGGCTATCCAGAATGTTCGGGAATCTGCAAATTCCGAATATGTTAAAATTGCGGATAATTCAGCACCAAAATCTTGATTTGTAATATTGTAATTAATGTTTATAAAAAATAATTACAGACGAGAGAAAACTACGAAAGTTTTTTATAAAAATCGTTCCTAAAAAGAAAGAAAATGGGGGTAGCTCTCTTTCTAAGCTAAATGCTTGTTTATAATTGATCGTGATTTACAATTAATTATTTGCAAGGTAATTGAGGGGGGGGGGATAATAAAGCTCCAGTTACTTGAGCTCACCAGTGGGTTGAATTCTGGATAGCTGGGCTTTCAATGTACTGAATTTTGATTACTTAATACAGAGTTCCCACTCTTTTAACAAAGTAAAAATTAAGGACTTTTTTTAGGAAAATTAAGGACCTTAAAAATAGTATAAGTATTTATCATCGAATAAATATATACCAAAAGTGACAGTGCTTATTACTTTTGAAAACCTGGGTTGAGTTTTTTTAAAACATTTTCAGATTGTTAAGGATTAACAACATCTATGAAATATCCTATCTATGAATATACATCTGTATTCCCTTTTTAATCATTTCATTGAAATTGAATTGTAAAATTAGGAGCAGATATTAAAATTTGCATTTCTTTTTCATATATTAAAAAAAAGAGAAAATAAATAAATTTGAAATAAGGAAAGTAATATATTTCGCAAATAAAGTTTTTATATTTTGCTACTAGACATGCATCACAAATTCAGCTGTGGGCCAATTTTGGAAAATATTCAGTTATGCCAAAAAGAAAAAATACATTTCTATTAACAAAATGTTTCATTTAAAAGGGTATCCATTAAAAAAATTAACACTAAGAAGTTGAATTAGAGTTATGCATGAGAGAAGTCGATTTCAAGTAAAAACGGGTCATACTAATATCTAATCACCTGAAATCCTTCCACTTTTTTTCAATTAGGCTTAACTTAATATATATATCTTTTCAAATTCATTGCCATAAAGATTTTTAAGAAAATTTTTATAAAAAAAAAATACAATTATGTTTAAGACTCATAATTTTCAAATATATATGTTTTTTACTAGTTCTTGGGGGAAACATATAAATGAAAGGGTCTAAAATGATTTTCCAAAGGTATCAACACATTCCTATGACCAGAAAATTGGTAAGGTTACTTAATTAACAAACATTGATAAATTATTTTTTTCATTGTCATTTATAGATATTTACTTGTAATATTTCTTTATCATCCACCATCATTCTTAATATTATTCTCAACTATTAGAATCATTTGATATTTTATTTTTATTGCGAATTAATAATTTTGGAAAAAATGTAATCAAAACTTCATAAAAAACATATTGAAAACTGCATGTAACCATTTTGAAATTATTACTCAACAGCAAATGTGTTATATTTACTTTTATGAGCTTTAGAATTATTTCCAGCCAAAACTGATATTAGGAACTAACTTTACATAATATTAACTGATATTAAGAATACTAAACAATCTGACGAAAAATATATACTAATTTTAAAGCAACCAAAAATTAAATAGAAATAAAAAAAAGAAAAAAAAGAAGCATATTAAGTTACAATGTTAACTGAGAAAAATGATTATTAAAATCTAATTTTGAATTTTATTCTAATCGACATTAATATCAAAAAGTTTGGGATCTTTTAATTGAATAGATTTAAATTTCTATGTAACAATCTGCCTATCCTTAAGAAATAAAAACATTAATGTAACAATCTACAACTTCAAAAAATATTTACATTGCAGCACAAGTTATAAATAGTTACCAAATATTTAACTATCTTGTTAGGAGCAAATCATGCATTCTTATTTAGTACTCAGGAATAAAAATGTAAAATATTTGTGAAAAAACTTGAGGTTTTCACCAAAACCCCAATAAATCTCAGGTTTTTGATGTAAAATCTAGGTGGGATGGGATTTTTCAAATCTTGTTTATTACAGATCTGTTTAATTTTTAGTACAATCATGAGTTTAAAAAAGTTTTACTGCTTTTTATTAATTTAAAGTTACTTATTACACACTGAAATAGTATGCAAATTTATTTAATTCTTCCAAGAATTTTGGAAATAGTTTTCGTTATGGATACTAGTTAAAACTTTTTTCTGATACTTTGATTCTTATGGTTTTACTTTGTTCCTATGAGCAAATGCATTACCAGTTGAACTGAATTTTTTGAATTCAGTCAATTTTGAAGGTCAGTGTGGGTTTTCCATTTCAGTACCTTAGAACTCCTCCCCCCCCCAAAAAAAAGCACTATCTCTTCAATGTGCAGTATTCCCCTTGTCCGCACTCTATTCTTTTCTTTTAGAATGTCACTCTTCTCATAGAGTATCATTCTAGGCAAAAGGCAGTATATATTAATGAAAGAACCAATGCATTAATAAAAGGACATACTTTCTTCTCCTTGCCCGTAGCCCTCTCACACACATCCCTTCTTGTCTCTCTAAAATGCTTTACTCTCGGTGCATGGTCTAATTCTAGGTGATAAAAGAATGACTATTTGTTTTAAAACAATGAACTGAAAAAATGTTCTTATCAACTATAGTGATGCTGAAAAATTAAGCACCTTTAAAAACCTTCTACCAAAATTAAGTACTTTTAAGGGTCCTTATTTTCCAAAATAAAAGTTAAGCAGTTTTTAAGGACTTTTAAGGACCGTGGGAACCCTGTAATAAGATTGTAAAAAATAAATAATCGATTAGACAAGTTGCAACATGTTTTCAAACTGATAAGTAACTGATTACCTGGAGGATAAGAACCATATTGGGGTTGAGGTTGGAAAGCTCCCACGCTAGCAGGGGGATATGAATAATTGCCTCCACCGCTGCAATAAATAAAGCAATGAACATTGAAATTGTCAAAATAAAAAGCAAACAATCATATATATACAGCATAGCTGCAAACCTTAGAAATAAAAAATTAGGAACACTATATACGATAAAATTATACACACCAATTATGAGAGTAAGACAAAAATTTAACTATTAACCCTTCCGCGCTGAATGTCATATGTGCTAGCAAGAAACGTGCTCACTTCCTGGCTGACACACCAGCGTGCCAGAGCGTTTTCTTGTTCACCTCTGGCCGTCACATATTTGTGCCAGAGTTTCGGAACGTTTTAAAAAATAAAATTTCTTCCAGAATATGGCATTGTATGTCCATATGGTTTCAGATACATGTAGATTTGACCTTCTACTCAAGATGAGAGTACATTCACGTGGTTTTTAGGGGGAAGGAATGTTTTATGATGGCTCTTTAAATTTGCACGTAGTATTTGTTTACAGTAAGCAGGGGAGGTTTTTTTTTCTGCTACTTTCGATTTTCGGTTTAGTTTTTAGTGGATAGTTAGATCTTGTAGATCCCTGTTTTAAAATTTTTCATACGAAAAAAGAACTTTAAGTCATACATTTAGTTTTCAGATATGTAATGTTAAATGTTACTAAATGATAAGTACATAATGAAAATAAAATGTGTAAAATATATATTCAAGCAAGAAATAACTTAAGTAAATAAAGTATCCATATATAAAGCATAAGTCATTTAAATACTCTACAGAACAGTATTAAACAACGCATTGATATTTTGGTAATATTATGGAATTAGGCTTAACAGCAAAAAACCCTCCGGCCCTGGAGAGACACCCGCAAGAGAGACTGCTGGCCTCAGCTGTAAGGGCGCTTTCACGCTTCATTAATAAAAGTATTCACTGATATTTTTTTGCTAAAAATCAAAATTCCTAACAATTCCAGATTTTCTTTGATAAAACTTAGAGAAAAGATAGATTTCATGTCTTTTGAATTTCATGAAAAAAAATATGGAATGTTTTGAAAATTATTTCTGAAAATAATTAAGGTTCTGTTTCTATGAAACATAATTTTTCAGAAAAAAACCCCCACATTTATATTAATGTTTTAAGCAAACTAATTTGTTGACTCTTGGTTGTTCAAATAATTGTATTACATAAGTTTTTTTCATGTTTCAGACAAATATATCATTTTGTATTTATATGAGAAATAGGTTTTGTAAAAAGATCTTTTTGAGATATCCTTCTTCTTTTCAGAACTTTGTTAAAGGTCAGAATTTTTGGCAGGGTTCATTTTGAGATTTGGATTTTTGAGAAGTATGAGGCGCATCCAGAAAGTAAGTTTCCCTAATTTATATTTAAAAAAGCTATGTTGAAAAATAGCTGAAACATCGCTGTACTTGTTGCCAATAAATATGTTCCTGAAAGTGTGAGTTTTTTTTTTTTTTTTTATAAATTAGGGAAACTTACTTTCTGGATGTGCCTCGTATCTTCAAAAATAAATGCAATTTTTTTTTCCATATTGTTATACAGAAGAGATTGCATCAAGTTTACATTTTTTTTTTAAATCAGTTACCTTGCGTCAGGTGAATAGAAGGGAGCTTGAGACTGAAAAGAGTTCATCTGAGAGGAGGGAAATGCCTGAGGCTGCTGATAAAACTGTTGAGAAGAATAAGTATTTTCAGAATACACACTGGGATCATGCAGATGTCGAGGATACCTCTGAGACAAATGATGGGATCCACCTGAATCTACAAAAGTGTAAAAAGAAACTTTATGATAAATCAAAGATAGACTTAAAACATATTTATTCAGGTGGATCCCATCATCTGAGACAAATGATGGAATCCACCTGAATCTACAAAAGTGTAAAAAGAACTCATACCTGATACACTTAAGAACCTGTCAAGAACTCATACCTGATACACTTAAACCATTATAAGGCTATAGTAAGTACATGAGGGGATTTAATCTTAGACTATGTCAACTTTCAGAGGGGAAATGGGAGCCAATAGCTTTTTAAAATTAAATAATTCTCCGGGTCACCAATGTGGGGAATTAATTATAGACTATGTCAACCTTCATCGATCAAAAGGTACCTCTTGATGGATGAAGGTTGACAATAAAATCCCCTCATAGGTGACCCGGACGTGATTTGGTATTTAATATTTATAGTGGTAGCTATTCGCTAACATGATGGAAGGTCCACATTAAACAGTTGATTTCCTTAATATAAACTGCTCAAAAATATCCGGTGAAGTAAATAAAGTCTCCCGGTAATAAACAATATAGAAAAAAAAAAAAAAAACAATGACCAAAATGCTATAAACAAAAAAAAAAAGAGTGAAGAAAAAAATATAATGAGCAAAAATTTATATGAATAAATAAACAGCATGAATCAACTAGTGTTATTCGTTCATCCAATTCTATCACAGATGAAATTCTGGAAGGGGAGTAATGAGGCATAACTACCACTATAAATATTAAATACCAATTCACTAGTACGTACACGTTAACTTGATTCTATCTTAGATATACCTTTCAGTACTACCTTTTGATAGATGAAGGTTGACATAGTCGACTATAATTAAAATCCCTTTATACACTTCCTACTAAATTCAATAGTTTTAAACTGTTGGTGGAAAGTTTTTTTCCCATCTATGACTTCTGCAGCCATCTAGTTTTTTTTATTTTATATCCGTCGTTGAACAGCCGACCCAATTGGGTGTGCGACTACTAATGTTTAACTCCATAGCCCTTTCATTTTTGAACCAATCTAGAAGACAAGGAAACTTCTGGATCAGTAACCCCTGAAGTATTGATCTGATATGGGAACAAGGAGGACTTTGCGACTCGACACATTTAACGCGCATCAGTCACCATTTACCACAAGGGGAATCTTTGGCCGGCGAGGATCGAACCCACTGACTCTTCGACATGGGCCCAGTGTCCTACCATGTACCGATAATGTTCACCCTCGGTCCCCACACAGGCTGATCAAAGTGGTTACCCACCCCCTTACTGACCGCAGCCAGTCATGCTTGACTTCGGTCTTCTACTGGGTCTTTACAATAGGTTTACTGATGGTAAGACAAGTGTCCAAGTTATTTTGTTCTTGGATATAAAAGATGCAAAATCCAGCAGTTGAAATAAGAGTGAAAAATTTGTGATTAAATGAACCAATCAGAAAACAGCTACTTATTAATTTTGTAGTTTGTCTAAATAAATATACAGTAGAGCGCCGATTATTCCGACTGCTCGGGACCGAACGTGGTTCAGATAATGAAAAGCTCGGATATTTGGAAAGTTGTTTAAAATCTTGTTTAAATGATTTTTATTTATGCACTAACTTCTTGCACTAACTTGTGTCCTTTTTTCCAGGCTTAGGACTGGCAGTACTATCTAAAATAACTCTGGCGTGTTTAAAAGTTTTTTTTCCTTCCATTTCTAAATATTTTTTATTTATTTATTTATTTTTTTTACTTTTTTTTATTTTTAATTTTTTTATCATATTTCAGCTTTTTATAATTTTTTTGTCAATTACTGATTTTTCCACATTTTCCTTTATTTTCCATTGCAAAAGAAATCCAGCAAAGACTTTTGTTTCAAAGAAGATGCTCTTTATAGAGCAGCCATATTCCCTTATTCTTTTTAAATAAATCAACTGAACTGGATCAACATCATTTTGACGTTCTAGCAGTATCTAATGAATTGCATGCTTCTATATGAGAAGGTCTACTATCTTGAACTTGAACACCTATTTCTTCCTCTTCATCTGTGGAGTTCGGATTCCGATTAGAAGAAAATTTTCTGTTGAAGAGGGCTAAAGGGGTATGTAAGTTTAACTGTATAACAATACATATATGTATGGCTACAGTAAGAAAACTGCTAAAAAAGGTTGTAAATTAAATATGGTTTTCAGATGTAGTGGATATTATTTATTCTTCTAAATTTAGAAAAATTGTTAACAAGTTAAGCATTCTAAACTCTTTTAAAAAAAAAAAAAATTAAGAAAAAAAAAAAAAAAAAAAAAGAATTNCAATATATCGGTTAAAATATGTTTGAATTATACATTTATATTAAAATATATTAGTTTTAGTAATTTGCCTCCCTCAAGTCCTGTTGGCTGCCTCATCGTGGCGAGGGGTGACCCTGAGTGGAACGGGCGATGTACGTCTGGAGTTTTACTCCTGGAAGGGTCACCCATGGCGAAAAGGCCGTTCCATTACACTCAGCTAAAGTCAACAGGCGAAGAAGCCAAGTCAGACTTCTGCTAGCATGGTGCTCCAGTCATAGGACTTCAGCAGCTGTATTATTACTCCAACCATGAAATTCATGTCTTGTTCTAACTCTCATACTGCCTCGGTCATGAATTTCATGGCCCTGCTAATTTTAGGGATAAGGAAGAAGAAGGAATGCTGGTATAATAGTTTAAAAACAACGATTAATAATAATCAGGTATATAATAATCTACATCATAAACAAATATTATTAGTCATGACTTTTCATGACTAATTCCAAGAATTTTTCATGACTTAACAAAGTTACTATTTTCAACGCCAAAAACACAACAATAAATTTAAAAAAGCTTTATAATAACATTCATTGAAATGATAGGTATAACCAAAACTGTAATACTCTGCATCTACATATTTATAGATTTTAAATTTAAAAAACAGAGTAAAGAAAGAGTTGAAGCAATAAAATAGCTGAAAAAAAATATAAAAGCAAATATTTCTTTCTTCTTTTTTTCAGCAGAATTACATTCTAAAGGTACTTTTCTTGTTCATTGGAAAGGAAGGAAATTCTTCCGATTTTTCTGTTCTCATTTCGGAATAAAAAAAATTTGCAATGACTGGCTTGCTTCAGCTAAAATTTTAAATTGATAAAATAAAAAAAATAAATAATAACAAAAATTCTGAAATCACAGAAGTTTAAAAGATAATTCGCCTCTAGAAATGATGTTTTTTCTTTCATTTTTTGAAAGAACACCATAATTTTTAAAGAACACGATAAAAACATTTTATATTTTAATCAACTATGACTGTGAGTGGGGATTTTGTTACAAATTCAGATATTCGGAACATTATGAAATTGGGGGAGGTTGGTACATTCCATTTTAAAAAGTTAAAATCATGATATTTCATGACAAATTTTGTTCAATACTGAAATTCTTGACTTTCCATGATTTTTCGTGAATTTCCAGGTGCGCGGATACCCTGACTATAAAAAAAAGTTGATATGCTAACTTGTAGATGTCAGGGATGAAGAGATCTCTTCCAAAGATAAATGTGTTGGATGCTATCAGAATTACTTGATTATGCCCAGAGAAATGCATCACTGAAAACTATCCAAAATGGTTTTAAAAAGGCTGGTTTTAAGAATAGCTGTGAAGAAGAGACTGAAGGCATGAGTAAAGAAGACGAAACTGCTGATGCTGGAAATGCAATGCCAGATTTGCAAGAATGGAATGCAAGAAAATCGGGATTTAATGTTGACATAAATTTTTGAAGATTTTTTGCAAGTGGACAACTGCCTGGCAATATTCAGAATATTGACAGATGCGGAAATCATAGATAACGTTAAAGGATCATATTGATCATAAAAAAGATAGATGAAGATCATATTGATCATAAAAAAAAACTGCGAAACTCTTATAGAACTTTTCTTGAATCACAGGAAAATGTTTGCTATGAGGGATTTGCTGCTCTTTCTAACCTTAAAAGAATTATCGAAGCTAAGAAGGTTAGACGTCAAAAAACTTTAAAAGATTATTTTCAGTGTTAAAAGTATGTTAGAGAAATGTTATGTAAATAGATATCTGTGGTATATTTAATTTACAGAAATGCCTACATTTTTTTACTAAAAACAATTGAAGCATTTTTAATAGAATTTCTCTTAGTCAAATTAAATTTATTTTTAAGTACCTGTATAACTTGAAACCTCTTTATCACAAATTTTTCGACTTTCCCGTGAGATACGAGATAAGCAGGTCCAACTGTACATACACATAGATATATTTGCTTCAAAAAAATGTTTTTGAAAAAAAAAAAAAAAAAAAAAAAANAAAAAAAAAAAAAAAAAAAAAAAAAAAAAAAAAAAAAAAAATCAATGAACAAACACATTTTGATTTAACATTAAAAAAGTTTTAACTAAATAGTGATACCTTTGCAAGATATAATTGAAATAGACATAAATTGTTTATGACCATAAATTTTAAAAATTCTAATTTTCTACGTATTTCAAAAAATCAATAAATTAATAAAAGTATTCACTGATATTTTTTTGCTAAAAATCAAAATTCCTAACAATTCCAGATTTTTTTTGATAAAACTTAGAGAAAAGATAGATTTCAGGTCTTTTGAATTTTGTTAAAAAGAATATGGAATGTTTTGAAAATTACTTCTGAAAAAAACTAAGGTTCTGTTTCTATGAAACATAATTTTTTAGAAATCTCCCCCCCCCCACATTTATATTAATGTTTTAAGCAAACTTATTTGTTGACTCTTGGTTGTTCCAATAATTGTATTACATAAGTTTTTCTCATGTTTCTGACAAAAATATCATTTTGTATTGAAATAGGTTTTGTAAAAAGATCTTTTTGAGATATCCTTCTTTCCAGAACTTTGTTAAAGGTCAGAATTTTTGGCATGGTTCATTTGTGAGGTGTAATTTTCGAGATTTGGATTTTTGAGAAGTACGAGGCGCATCCAGAAAGTAAGTTTCCCTATTTTTTTAAGAAAAAGAAATCATACTTTCAGGAACATATTGATTGGCAACAAGTGCAGCAATGTTTCAGCTATTTTTCAACACAGTTACCACCAGAATTGAGACACATGTTGTATCGGAGGATAAACTTTTGTATCCCTCTGTCATAGAATTCTGCCGTCTGAGAATGGAACCAGCATGCGACGGAAGTCTTCAGCTCTTCGTCGTTGCCAAAATGTTCACCGGAGGACAGTAATTTCTCGAGGTGCAAGAAAACGTGAAAATCACTGTAAGCAATATCAGTGCTGCAGGATGGAGGAACAAACAACTCCCAGCCAAATTCTGTCGAAACAGCTGCTGTACGTCGTGCCGTATGTGGACGAGCATTGCCAAGGAGGAGCGCAACACCTGCAGTAAGCTTTCCAAGACTCTTGTTTTGAATGGCACGTCACAATTTCCGCAGTGTTTCACAGTAACGGTAGACGTCTGTCACACGCTGGTTCCATTCACAGTTCTACGACAGAGGGATACAAAAGTTGATCCCACGACGCGACAAGTGTCTCAATTCTGGTGGTGGCTATGTTGAAAATAAATATGTTGTACTTGTTGCTAATAAAAATGTTCCTGAAAGTGTGAGTTTTTTTTTTTTTTTTTTTTTTTTTTTTTTTTTTTTTTTTTTTATAAATTAGGGAAACTTACTTTCTGGATGCGCCTCGTATCTTAAAAAATGAATGCAATTTTTCTTTCCATATTGTTATACAGAAGAAATTGTATGAAGTTTAAATTATTTTAATTTTTTTAAAATCAGTTACCTTGCGTCAGGTGAATAGAAGGGGGCTTGAGACTGAAAAGAGTTCATCTGAGAGGAGGGAAACGCCTGAGGCTGCTGATAAAATTGTTGGGAAGAATAAGTATTTTCAGAATACACACTGGGATCATGTAGATGTCGAGGATACCTCTGAGACAAATGATGGGACCCACCTGAATCTACAAAAGTGTAAAAAGAAACTTTATGATAAATCAAAGATAGACTTAAACATATTAATTTACAAGTAGCTAATTATTCAAGAACTCATACCTGATACACATAAACCATTATAAGGCTATAGTAAGTACATGAGGGGATTTAATCTTAGAATACGTCAACTTTCAGAGGGGAAATGGGAGCCAATAGCTTTTTACTCGATGAAATTAAATAATTTTCATTGGTGATAATTCTCCGGGTCACCAACGAGGGGATTTTATTATAGACTATGTCAACCTTCATCTATCAAAAGGTACCTCTTGATGGATGAAGGTTGACATAGTCTATAATAAAATCCCCTCGTTGGTGACCCGGACGTGATTTGGTATTTAATATTTATAGTGGTAGTTACTCGCTAACCTGATGGAAGGTCCACATTAAACAGTTGATTTGTTTAATATAAACTGCTCAAAAAGAAAAGAAAAAAAGATCAGGTGAAGTAAATAAAGTCTCCCGTTTATAAACAATATAGAAAAAAAAATAAGCGAAATGCTATAAAAAAAATAAAAAAAAAAAGAATGAAGAAAAAAATATAATGAGCAAAATTTAAAGATATATATATAAACAGCATGAATCAACTAGTGTTATTCGTTCATCGAATTCTATCACAGATAAAATTCTGGAAGGGGAGTAATGTGGCGTAACTACCACTACAAATATTGAATACCAATTCACTAATATATAATACATGTTAACTTGATTCTATCTTAGGTATACCTTTCAGTACTACCTTTTGATAGATGAAGGTTGACATAGTCGACTATAATTAAAATCCCCTCATACACTTCCTACTAAATTCAATAGTTTTAAACGGTTGGTTGAAAGTTTTTTTCCCACCTACGATTTCTGCAGCCATCTACTTTTTTTACTTTATATCCGTCGTTGAACAACCAACCCAATTTTGGGTGTGCGACTACTAATGTTCAACTCCGTAGCCCTGTCATTTTTGAACCAATCCAGAAGCCAAGGAAACTCCTGCATCGGTACCCCCGGAGGTATTGATTTGTTATGGGAACATGGAGGACTTTGCGACTCGACAGATTTAACGCGCACCAGTCACCATTTACCACATTACCAAAATGACAAATTCAGGGTTCCCACTCAATTTCAGAAGAAATTTTTCCTGACTTTTCCAGGTATATCAGGCAAATTTCAATGAAAAATTCATACCATATGTTATCTATACTATGAAATTTTTCATCAGAAAATATTGATTCTTTTATTTGTAATGCCAAGTATTAGATCTTCTGTGTAAAATAAATATCATTATACGAGGAAGGAAGCATTTCAGTTTGTCTAAAATATGACATTTTTACAATAAATAATTGTAATAGATGCAAAAGTGATTTAACTCGAATTTCGACAACTAAATACTGTTACTGACAATTTTAAGACTGGTTTTTTTCAAGGTTTGTGTAAAAAAATTGCAACTTTACATGACTATACCCTAATTTTTGGAGTGACAATTCCAGGTTTTCCCTGACCTGTGGGAACCCAGCAGATTTTACATTTTGTAAAAAACAAAATTTCACTGGGGAAGAATTAAGACGCGAATATTATAATACACAGTACATAAATTACAGACTAAAGTAATATTTTGAACAAGAATTTTGATAACAAGTCAGAATGAGTAAAAGTTACTTTGACGAGTTTTGAGAGATGGCTGTGGGGGTTCTGCAGCTGAAGGAGGTGGAGCTGATGTAGGCATTGGCTGAATCATACCAGGTGGTGGTGAAGACACCATAGGTTGTTGATACGACGATGCTTGAGGAATAGTATTTGTTGATGGATAAGCATAAGTACTGGGAAGAGATTGTGGAACACTGCTAAAAGGATACTGAAATAATGTTCGCACATTAAAACAATAAAAAAAAAAATAAAGAACAAACGGAACTAAAATAATTCATGTAATTTAATAACCTTTAATGAGGGATAGCTTGATTTAAATCATGGTTTGTATAATGATTAAAATCTGCTCATATTTGTTTATTATAAGAATAATTTATTGAAGTCAAAAATATTCTTTATTAGGTTTATTTTTAAACATAATCTTAAGATAGTGACTTTTTGAAAGTTTCATTTTATTGGTATTGAAGGTTTTGTCTAGAGAAATAATGATCGATAGCAATGCAAATAAATTATTATTTAACGTTGAAAACAGACTAAAAATTGAAATAAAAGAGACTGAATATTGATTAAAGTGAAGGGAAACTTTTAAATAACTTTTCATTGGCTGTATGAAAAATAATTTGCTATTTCACACACAAATTTTTTTTTAATACAATTATTTTATTTTTATTATAATAGATGTTTTACCAAGAGTAATTTAAAATAATTTAAATTTTTTATGTTTCCTGATCTAAATTAATTTATTCTTCATTTGATAACTGACAAATTAAGCCAATGTCCTTACAAATTTATAAAAGTATTGGTAACGGTTTTTATTTTTTAGAGCAATTAGTTTGTAAAAATTATCTAATAATTTTAACCATTTTAATTGGTAACATTAGGCATTATTAGTTGCAGTAGAGCTGCAAAATGGGCCATAAAACCATCCCTGAGGATGATACAATTTTGATCCTCTTCAGGCTGTCCAGTTGGGTAGTCCAATGACCTACACTTGAAGTCAAGCACTATACAGTAGAACAATTTAGCGAGGACACCCTCGGTCTCTTTGCAGGCTGACAAAACTGGCCACCCATCCATGCACTGACAGTAATACTTGACTTTGGTGATCTACCGGGATCTTACAACCACTGTAGAGCTTCAGCAGTGTTAAGCATTATTAATATATTCTATCAGAGATTTGGCTGGTGTTTGGATGCACACAAATGCATATATATATATACACACATATATATACATACATATATATATATACATACATATACAGTCAAACCCTGCTATAGTGAACACGGTTTATAGTGAACTCCCGGATATAGTGAACGAAATGTTCGATCCCGTGCCTTGCTATACACGTATAATGTTATTTTTTGTGGATATAGTGAACCAAGAAAGTGAGGAAGTTGGATATAATAAACGTTTTTCTGTCTTCGACTGATTTTTTTCTTCATTTTTTTGGTAATAATTTTGAAATTTCTACTTCAAAATAAATACCTAAACCGATTTTTAAAACCACATATAGAGGAGAATGTAGCGATAAGCATTTTTTCTTCTTCGCCTCTTTTATCTCACCTTCCCATCCCTAAACAAACCAAGCAGATGTTTCCAACCCAGGCAGATGATGCACCTGTAAGGTGTCAGTGGGATCAATATGCATTTTCTGTCAGAGGGAATGAGTCTTTACTCATTATTGGTCAAAGGGTTGTACACTAATATGTGTTGATAAGGCCCTCATTTCAACTCCTTTTTGCTCTCAGTTCAATTTAAAAAAAGCCTGCAAAGAAGTTTCTCAAATTTAACTATGGCGACTAGTAAACGTAAGACGATCTTCATTGATGATAAAATGGGCATAATCAGAAAAATTTAAAATGGATGCAGTCCAGCTGATAGTTGCAGAGAATATAAACTATCCAAATCTGCAGTTTGCAACATATGGAAAAATAGGCAGTTAATAACTTCCGCTCAGGAAAAAAATTTGTTGCCAGAAAAAAGTTGAGAAAAGCAGATCACAAGGATGATGAAGAAGCATTACTGAAGTGATCCAGCATTAGAAGAAGCCACAATCTTCCAGTATCTAAACAAATGTCGACGAATTTGCTAAGCGATTTTATGAGACAACTTTTAAGAGCTAAAATGGCAATTTAGACAGGTATAAAAAGCGCAATAACAGAAATTGAGGAAAAATCATCTGAGAGTCGGGAAGTGTTTCCATATTTGATGTTGAGGATTGCTCATCAGCTAGAGATTACTAATTTTTTTTCGTACGCAAGACTAAGAGTAATAAAAAAAAAAAAAAACACATGTTTCGCTACTAGATAATACTTTTCAGTCACTTATTCAGATAATGTGTAATAAAAGGGAGGAGTTAAGCAACCATTCGTTAAATTGCCTGCGTAACGAATATAGTGAACTTCCGGTTATAGTGAATCGAAATGTCGGCTCCTTGAAGGTTCACTATAGCGGGGTTTAACTATATATACATACATACATATATATTTATAAATACATATATATTTATAAATACATATATATTTATAAATATATATATATATATATATATATATATACATACATATATATACATACATACATATACATATTTATAAGAATTTGATTTTTTTAAAATCGATTTTTGACAACCCTTCTTTTTAAATCTTTTTTTTATTATCAGTATAGTATACCTGATTTGGTTGTTGAGGATGGGAGAAAGAAGAATGCCTTTGAGTAGGTACAGGATTGGCAGGTTGTTGTTGTTGCTGCTGCTGTTGGTATTGAACATTAGAAACATGAGACTGGGAAATGGAACTGGAGCGACGCACATCAACACGTTGAAATGGAAAGTTTGGTGAACGGTGACCCAAAGCTTGATAGATTCTATCTCTCAATATTGCAAGAGTTCTCTAAAGAGAAACAAAATACTTACAATTAATGGTTGTTAACAGAGTTCTTGCAGAAAGATTTTTATTTGAAAAAAAAAATATATGCTTTTCTTTTCTACAGAAATTTACACGTAGTATTTGAATCATGCATTTAGATAATAACTTTTTGGTGTGCTTAATTTTCGCGGATGGTATCTCTAATCGTTTTGATTGCATTTTCGGCAGTTATGGAAATAGCTTTTCACGTGGTTTTTAGATATCCCAATATATTTTAAGCAATCTGGAAAATTTGAATCCTGCATTTGAGTATATACCTTTTAAGGCAATATTGCAATCGAATTTTTGGCAGTTATTACTATTGATTTCTCCATAGTTTTTAAATCTGATATTTTTTATACGATATTAGTTATTACAACAACCTGATCTCGAAACGAAACACGCATTAGAGGAATCCGATTCGGGTTATTTTGTTGCTGATCTTTATTTCGGCAATTACTACAGATCACATAATTTAATTATTTTTTTATTATGATGATTATTTACAAATTACGAAGAAAATAATTTGTGCATCCCCTCCCCAACAGAATCAGAGAATATCGGCCATAATATTAGAATAAAAAATGATACTTTGGGATTAGCCAGTCGACCTGTCAAATCCTTTGGAGCTAGTTTTTACAAAATAAACATTGCAAACACAATAGATTTATCAAATCAAAATAATTAACAAATAATAAGTAATAACCATACATATTATTATATAAATCTTTTCGGCGGCTAATCATTCAGAAGCTACGTTTTGGCGGAAATGGTCGACGAGAGGGCCTAAGGGCCTCATACCTCTTTCAGATTATCCCGCTGACCTGCAAATCCTTTGATGTTAGATTTTAGGTTTGGTGAAAATGGTCAACAGGATAATCCCAAAGTACCTAAAAAGTTATTGCATGTTCAATTAAAAAAGATTATATAGTTTTTTTTTTGTAAACACTGCGCTTTTGGTCTTTTAAATTAGTAAAATTTATGTTTGTTATGATTAAAAGTATTTTGCAGAAAGATATTAATGCTATAGAGAGTTTTGTCGCAGATAGCTCGAAAAAATTCTGCCACAGGACTCTATTTTAGTTTCAGGGAGTTATAACATATAAACACGGGTGACACCCTGAAATAATTGCAAGACTGAACTTATTTTTTTCCTAATTAACACAGTTTAGCGTTGTTTAACAGAATTTTCAGAAATATATCGCTCAATGACAGCAAAAATCTTTTCATGAGAATATCAATGACTTGTTTATTTTTTCTTCAAAATAATATATTTTTTATACGGCAAACAAAACAAAAACAAGTTATATGAAAAAATGTTTTAAAGTCAAATCCTACTTAGGTCAAAAATTTTTTTTTTACGTAAGTTACTTTTTATTAAATAATCAAAATTTTTTCTGCCATATAAAACTTAAATTCATTAAATTTAATGAATGAATTAATATTTGAAAAAACTATATAAATATTAAGTGTTACAAGTTTTAAAAAAAATGTATTTGAACTTGAATGGATGAATAAAAAGTATTTTACTAAGGAATTAAAAATTTAAAAAAAAGGCGCGTAGTATCAGACGACTATAAAAGTATAAATTGGATGACACGACCCACAGAAGCTATCAACTCATGTTCCTTATTAAATTGATCTGACACAGCGAACATAGAATAATTCAATATTTAAATGTGTGCAAAAAATTACTTTTTTTTTGTTCAAATAGAGCTTTAAGTTAGAAATTATCACTGATGTTATTTTTCAAATATAGGAAAAGCTGAATCGCTTATAGTAAAATTTAAAACAATGACTAACGGTTAACCCGTCAGAATATATCATTTCGTTTTCCCCTCAAATATCAAAAATTCAATTACAACCATTCATCTATAAGTAAGTTAAACATTTCTGATGTCTACTAAAGAAAATAGTGGAGAAAAAAAGCCTATATTTTTTTGCTAAATCAGGGTGCATAGCCAAATTATTCAACCAAAAATAAGCACCTTTTAAGCACTTTTCAAGCACTCAGAATATATTTTTAAGCACATTTAAAAATATCGGGCAGAATTGAAAAGTTTTTGACAATTGACGGTTTTAACTTGTTTCAACCATCATGTCAAAAAAATGAATAAATACTTTTGGAATTGTTTTTGACAATTGTCAAAAATCATGTAAATTGAATCATGTAAAACAAATGGCGTTTTCATTCACTACGGACTGACAATAAGCCGAAATAGATTGGGGTTGAATCAATTGTGAAAACGTTGAATAGAACATGTGAACTGTGTCTTTTTGCATAATTCGTGGCGAAAATCAACATGGTAAAAGAAAAATCTCACTTTGAAAAAGGGAAAATTAAGCACTTTTTAAAAACACACCATGAAAAAAGCACCTTTAAGGGCTTTTAAAAAAAGAAAATCAAAAATAAGCACCTTGAAGCACTTTTTAAAAACGCTACGCACCCTGTAAATGTGTACATGAAAGCCATACTGACCTCATTTGGATCCACTAAGTACGTAGATGCACTGCTAAGACTCCCCTGAGTCGCAAGTAGTTCTGCATACTGTCCAAGGAGAGAAGATAGAACACCCGTTTCAAGAGGTGGTGCCGCTCCCGATAACTGTTCTACAGCTTTACGTAAAATCATCACCTGCTCTATCAAGTTCTAGAAAAAAAAATGGCAAAATATGTTAGAAATCAGTTTATACTCACTTTTATTTCTTCAAAACTATTTTAGAGAGAGCAAAAAAAATCCAGGATATCTGCTAAATCTACCGTTTTTAAATCTATAACCTTCCATGAATTCTACCAAAAACTTTCCATGGCTTACGCAAGTTAATACTTTATAATTCAATAGAGTCAAAACAAGATCGTAATAAGTTCAACTTTCTTTCTGGTGCGTGATCGTTTTAAATCACACAAAAGCGGATCGTGATGAGTGATTGAAGAAATCCATGAAAGCGGATCACGATGTGTGATTTTTAAATTGCACAAATATGGAACGCAATGTGTACTTTTTAAATCATGAGCAGAAATTGTGATGTGTGATTATAAATTCGCACGAATACAGATTACAATATTTGAGTTTTAAACCACACAAATGCAGATCGTAATGATTGATTTTTAAATCACGCGAAGATAACTATTTTTAAATCATGTAAATACAAATCATGATGCTGGACTTTCAAGGATGAAGGGCTCCAATATCCCAAATCCACGAGGAACTGGGAGTTTCCATAATTGTTTAGCATTTATCACTGAAAATCATGACTTTCCATGAAAATTTTTGATCAGGTCGAAATGAATGAATTATTTTTGAATGAATTAATTATTTAGTTGCGCAATTGAAAATTCAAAAAAGATTTTAATGAAATGTTTGCCCCATTAAACTACCAAATTAATTTAAAGTAGTTACATAAAATAGAGTAGGGGAGTCCAAACTTTTTCAGTGAAGGGCCACTTGCACAATAAGTAGATTAATGAAGGGCTGCACACATATTTAATCTTGTTAGCGGCAAATACGATAATTTTTATATAAACATTCGGAAGTAGTATTTCTCGGAAGTAATTTTCGTTTTTTAAGTATGAAAAAAGAATGTCGTAAAAAACCTTGTTTAAACAAAACCAAAAAACGGGTTTCTTGGTTTTTTTCTTTTCCTTCAAAAAAACCTGGTTTTTTGCCAACCCAAGAAGTAATTGATCTGAGAAACAAACATTCTTCCCACATTAAAGTTATTGATTTCTCAGAATAAAATTGGTTTCTACATATTGGGTAGATTTTATACAAAATTCTTTGAGTCAAATACCTGGAGAGCATCTAAACTGTCATTGACTTTAACCCACGACTGAGCAAGGCGTTCTAAATTACCAGCACTAATATAACAAAGGGCTGAATTCTGCTGCAAGTTAGGATCCTTTTCTAAACGTGTACCAAGAGTTTCTGAAATAAAATTTCAAAATATGATCAGTAATATAACCCCACTATAGCAGGGTTGCCACATAAAAAAATGAACAAAATAGTTGCTTTCAGTAGCCTAAAACATGAAAATAGTAGCCAAAAACAGGAAAACAGTTGCCTAAATAAGAACAAAAATTCATCAAAAATATGACTAAAATTTTGTTAATGACTTAATTGTCATAGAGCATGATCCATTCAGTCAAGTTGGTGGCAAATATGATAATTTTTATATAAACGTAAATGTTTATATATATATGAAAAGTAATTGCTCAAATTCGAAATTCAGGCATCTTAATATCGTATTAATTTTTTTTAACATCATGCGGAATTTGGTAGCAATAGTCATTGAACAGGAGATCGAGAAATGAAATAGACTTACAATGGACGAATTAAAAAGTGAACACTCAAATTTGCAAAATTCAGTAAGAAGCTTAGATGGCAGGCATCGCAATTTGAAAAATGCTATCAGTGATTAAAAGAGATAAAAGTGATTCATATAAAGTTTCAAAACTGGAATTTGATTAAGCTCCTAAGAAAGTTCCAACAGAACTCAGGAAACTAACAAACCCTGCTCTTCTAAGATCATTGAAAAACTATCATTATTCGATGCATGCTATCACAAACTCATCGTCAAGGGAAACAGAACTTAAATGCGATGCTGGCTTCACGCATATTCTGATGAATCAAAAATGCTCAACAAAGTAGGATTCAGTGCACTTCCAAAACATTTTGCATTCTAAACCTCCCTTTAATTCATCTCAAATAAACTCTTAGAACAATTCATTTAAAAAACACAGTCATATTTCAAATGCATTGCAGCAATCCTATTTCCACACACATCATGGAATCTAAATTTATTGAATTTTGAAGAACTCTTAATTTTTTTAGACACAAAAGAGATGAATGTTGTATTGCAAGGGATACCGGCACATGCTGGAATAGCAGGTAAAGAATGGGCAGATACACTAGCAGACATGTAACTGCTAGAAGAAGAAATTATCCGAAATTTGTTTCTCAGAGGGTAGTTTTTTTTAAAAATCTTTTTGTATATAGTAGATAAATAAAAGACTCATTTTTATGCACTGAAGTTACATTTATAAAATTTTAGGAGCGAAAGAAAATAATTTTTATCTAATACACTCAATTCAAATTTTGCGTGCTGGAATAATATTGGAATTTTAAATACCATAAAAAAATCAACTGCTAAAGAAAAAAAAGAAGATCAAACCACAGATTTACAATGGCACTGAGCACATTGAAAAGTTTTTACTAATTTATGCAATTTGAAATTCCCACAGTGTGATATCATATTAAAAATAAATTCGATCTAATTTAAAGCAAATAAAAAAAGGAAATATCACATTAATTAAATAACTATTCTATTAAGAGTCGAATTTTGGAATCCAACAAAATTGCCACTAATTAAAATATAAGTTTTAAAAATCGAGAAAAAAAAAACTATTTTTTCTAGCAAATGATTATTTAAATGTTTGCCATTTCGGAATTACTTTTAAATTTAAAATTTTTTACTTCTGTGTTTGCCTCTGTAGTTTATAAATTCTAGCTGAAGTTATTATGGAATATTTTTTCATTCTTGTGTTCTAGCAATGTTTATCCGAAGTTGTGATTTTATCAAACAAATTTAAGCTAAAAAGAAGTTATGGCACATAAATGAGAAAGAAAAAAAAAGATGCTAGCGATAAAGGCAGAATGAATGCCCTATTAACGATACTTTGCGTAAGTGACAAAATTTACATTTTAGATCAGCAGAACTCTGAACATTTTGTCGGTAAATAAATTACTTGCAATTAAAACATATTTTTAATAACGATACTAAATACACAATTCAGGTAATGTATAATCTAATTTAAACAGGGTGCGTAGCCAGATTTTTCAACAAAAAATAAGCAACTTTTAAGTACTTTTTAAGCACTCAAAAAATATTTTTAACCACCTACAAAAAATTTAAAAAAATCCTAATTAGGATATGCGCAGTAATAAAAATTATTTTCTCTATCATTTAAAGTTCTTAATTTAGAAACATAAATTCAATAAAATTTAGAAACATTTTTAGAAACTTTACATAATCAAGATAAAATAACTCAGTTTCTGATAAATGATACAGAGAAGTTTCTGAAGAAATGAGTTTATTTAAAAACATTAGTAATAAAAAATGTCACAGAGTGATGAAAAGAAAAGAAAGAATACCCAAATGATCTGCTTCAACAGAAGCTTAAATACAGATAACGAGTGACGCCATGATCCATGCAAGAACGACCAACAGCAAATGAAAATAAACTGGCCGATCTCTGCAGATCATGACGTCACCGACGCAAGTTGAATGCATGAGATCGACGACCAAAAAATCGAACCTTATACCTTTTAGCCTCTATTTGTCTAACAAAATCTGTAGCAAAGGAAAATCTCTTTTTAAAATATAAAAAAAATGAAGCACAGTTTATAAACTTCGAATAAAAAAAAAGCACCTTTAAGGGCTTTTAAAAAAGTAAATCAAAAATAGGCACCTGTAAGCCCTTTTTAAAAACCTTATGCACCCTGTTTCAAGTTATCAGAGTAAGTTTTTTTTTCTTTTCGTTCATTTTATTTTTCTTAAAGATTAGTACAGTAGGGAACCAATTATCCGGAAGATCGGGACCATCGCTATTCCAGATAATTGATTTTTCCGGTTTTCTGAATCGCTACAAAAAGCCGTTTTTTTTTTTAATCGTTAAACGCAACTAAAAAATGTTTGGAAATAATCTTAAAAAGAAGAAAAAACGATGAAGTAATACACTAATGATTATTTCCAAAATGATGGTAAGGTAAAAATCTTTCAAAAAAGAAAGAAAAATCCTAAAATCTTATGAGGTAAAAAAATTTATTTATTTTTTTTTTAAATATGGTGGGAAAATTTATTGAATTTCGTTCCGGTTTTTTGGTTTTCTGATTTCTGGATAACGGGTTCTGTACTGTACAATCAATGACTTTTGGGTTATCATATTTAAAAATTCAAGATTTACCACATAAAGTTGGAAAGTCTTGAGGCTTAGCATAGGTAAGAATTGCTGCAAGAATTTCCTTCCAACAATTGATGTTGCAATTTTTAACCATTGTCATCCAATCTGATGTTACTACTGCAGATATTAACTAAATATTAAAAAGAAAAAAAGAATTATAAAAATGATCAACTAAGTTTACAAAATTAAATTAAACAGTTTATAAATATCATCCTTAAATATCTCAAAGAATGTATTTTGAGAAAAATCCTGCATTTCAGGTAATTTTTAAATTCCTTGTGTTTTCCAGGTTTTCTCTGTGGAGTGACTACCCCAAATATTTTTTATTCAATAGACCAGTGTTTCCCAAAATATGGTACATGTACCCCCAGGGCTACTGGAACAGTTAAGCGGGGGTACACATTCTTATGCGAAATATATTGCAACAAATGGAAATTTCAAAAACTTTTCTTTAGAAACAAAGCTAGCCGTGAAAATTTACGATGATGTATTTTTCTATTGGCCATTTTTTGCACAGTTAACAGTTAATAATGAGAGGTGTCATCAGCCAGTCGTGATTTTTAACTTTTGTACAATTTTTTTACAGTAAAAAATGCATTCATTTTTTCATGAGTGGTACACAGCGTTTCAAAAAATTTAGAAAGGGTACACAAAAGTCATAAGTTTGGGAAACACTGCAATAGACAATTAATCTTTTGATTATAAGAAGAAAAGTGTCAAATTTCATATTTGGTAAGAAACAACCTTAAATCTTATCCTGAATCAAAAATTTAAAAAGTTTAGTTTTATAAATAATTAACTCGTAACCAATTTAGGTTGAATTTCGAGTAGAAAAAAAACCAGAAACAATAAAGTGTTAAGAGTATTGTGCAGCATTCTAATTTTAATACATCTAAAAAATTAAACTAAGGTTAGCTTGGAAAAACTTCTCGAGAAGGCCAAGGCCCACCCCGGGCTGTCGAGCCGTTGATGATGAAAAAATTAAGTTGTGGTACAGTGAAACTTTTACAAGAAATCAGTAATAGAGGTTACTTATTTTAACAAAACAGCACCGGCTATTCATTGCTACTTTAAATGTTAAGATTCATTATATTCAAGGTTTGCTGCATGATTTTTCCAGGTTTGGACTTTTAAACCATGAAAACTTAATATTGGTACATATTTTTGGCTACCATTTTCCTGTGGTCTAGAGTTTGGGAAATGCTACTGAATTTCAAACAAGTTCCTTAAATGAAGCAGACATTAAATTATTTGATGCGCTTCTGATGTGTTTTGTGATTATGACAGATGGGTAGCTGGATTAACAACAAGACAATTACCCACAGTGAACAAAATGAGAAATGAACAAAAACATAACATAAAACGAGTTTTACACATTTAAAATAATTTTGCCCAACTGTAATTATTATTTGGCTCAGTTCAAATGAAAATTAATGGATTTGGAGTTAATTTCACAAAACCAAAACTGAACTGTAATGGTAACTTGAAAGTTACGTATCACACTATCTCATTATATTCAAATGGACTGTCACAACAGCAATGTTGCTTTTGTTAAGGCTGCTACATAAACAATGGTTATCTGTTATGCTCAGTCAATATTTCTAATCATGTCTAGGAAAAGCCAATCTTGCAATTAAAACATATTTTTAATAACGATACTAAATACACAATTCANTGAAGGGTCCGATTAAACGAAAAATCATTTTGTGACGGGTCCGTTTAAGTTAAAATATTTTGTGAAGGGTCCGTTCTTATGAAAAGATATTTTGTGAAAGGTCTGTTAACGGACCCAAATTTCTTCTAAACAGACCCCTGCTTACATATCATTACTTTTCTACTACAATTATAAAATCAATGAAAACATTTTTAATAGAGAGGAGAGAGTTTGAAACAAATATTTTTTATAAAAAAACATTTATTATATTAAATAATGTCCAAGGCTACAGAATATAAATCCAATTTGCCTAATATCTAATCTTAAAAAGGTCTAGCACATATTTTTTTCTTTCACAAAAAGATATCTCAAACACCCATTAAAAAACAATGATTTTAGTAACAATCACTAGAGTTGGGGTTCCAAATGATTAAATTTAGATAATGCTTGCAATCGAGTTCAGCCTTAACATTACGATCGACGCCCAGATTAAAAGCCAAATACAGTTTCTACATATTATGAAGTTGAAATTCTGGTCATTTTATGTCCGGTATGGCTTAGAATACCAAAAAAACAGATGTAAAAATGTCACCTTTGGAAAAGTAGTGGTTTATCACTATATTACTCTAAGGCTTTCACATAAATTCTGAATTAGAATAAAGATTGATTATGAACTTTTTTTCAGTAAATCAACAGACATTCATTTTACGGAAATTATAACTATGCAATAACATTTCACAAAGAGCAATTATGTATGAGTATTAATTCTAAGCATATACAGGCTATCTGCTACATTCTAGATCAGCTAGAAATTCATGAACTTTTCATGACTTAACGAAGTTACTATTTTCTCCGACAAAAACAGAATAATACATTTAAAAAGCATTATAATATTAATTAAAATGATAGGTATAACCAAAATTGTTATACTCTACATATTCATATTTATTGATTTTAAATTAAAAAAAAAAACAGAGCAAAGAAAGAGTTGAAGCAATAAAATAGCTGCGTAAACAATTTTTTTTTCTGCAGAATTATATTCTAAATATACTTTTCCTGTTCATCAGAAAGGAAAGAAATACTCCCGATTTTTCTGTTCTCATTTCAAAGGAAAACAAAATTTGCCAATGACTGGCTTGCTTCAGCTAGAATTTCGAATTGATAAAATAAAAAAATAAGAATAATTCGGAAATCATAGAAATTTAAAAGATACTTCATTCTAGAAATTATGTTTTTTCCTTCATTTTTTGAAAGAAAACCATAGCTTTTAAAGAACATGATAAAAACTTTTTATATTTTAATAAAATATGACTTTGAGTGTTGATTTTGTTACAAATTCAGATATTCGGAACACCGTAAAATTGGGGAGAGGGAGTTACATTCCATTTTAAAAATTAGATTTTTCGCTAACCTAAACCCGTGACTTTTTTTAAAAAAATAGTAAAAATCATGACATTTCATGACAAATTTTGTCGAATTCATGACTTTCCAGGTGCGCTGATACCCTGCATATAATTTTACTGTTTTAAAAGTTAAGTGAATGATAGTGTAAAAGATTTACTTTTGATGCATTTGTGTTAACAGATTTGAAATAAAGCTGTTGAGTTTTCTGAAGTAATTCTTGTCCCCCGGCTTGAGCTAAGACTAAAGCATCTGCCCATCGATTATCCTGTATACAGATTTCTACAGCACTTGAAATGTTGCCAGTCAAAAGCGCTTGAGATATCAGACCATCCGTTTCCTCTGTTCAACACAACATAAATTGCATTAGTATTCGCTAATTGAAATCTTTTCCAATGCACATCTTTTATTCAATCAGTAAAATTATGCTTAAATAACTGAATATAGTAATAAGAATTTTACAGTATAAAATATGTGAAGAAAAATTATTTTTAATTTTTTACATTATAGACAGGGTTTGTGATTTTTTTGATGTTTTTTAAAAAAATAAGATCTTTTTGATTTAAATCAGATTTTTTTGATTTTTATTCAAATCCACGGTAAGAACTTTGATTTATGATTAAAAAAAACTTTATGAATGCTTAATTAAAATTAATATTAAAACTATATTATAACAATATTTAAGAAGCTCTAACTACCTAAAACAATTTTTCATTATAACATATAGCTTTGAATGCATAGCAACCATTTTGAAACAAATGCAGGATTGAAATTTAAAGACTACAGGGAATAAAGAATTCAAACCCTATTTTTGGCATATAAGGCTAATTTCTTTTTAAGATAACATCAAGCTTTACAAATATACACTTTCCACCAATAAAATATAATGTAGATTTTATTTCAATGCTTTTTCAATCAAAAAGTAGAAATTTAATTAATATTATTTGTATTTTTTTGTGAAAAAAATTCATATGTTTATTAATTACTTTCTACAGCTATGCAAGTCTGTATTAAGACAGCATTAAATGTTTACATTAATCTGTACTTTCAATCTCAAGAATCAAAAGATTTTTAAAAATGTAATTTTAAATGTGTTGGAATTTAACACATACCAAGAAAGAAAGTAATTTCGTTAACTAAAATGAATGAATGCAGCAATTTATTTAAAATAAATTTTAAAACTAAGAAAAGAAAATAATAAAAGCATCAATAATTTAAAACACTGCTATTTAATTTTTTAAATCAAGATATAATATTTAAAAAAATCAGTTGATTTAAGTCAATGATTTTTTTAAAAAAATCATTTGATTTAAATCGTGATTTAAATCAGGCTGATTTAAATCAACAAACCCTGCTTATAGAAAGAGAGAAAATTGAAGAAAATCAATGTAATATAATTTATTGATCAGGGGTGATTGTGAGCCCAACTCAAAAATCCAGAAAATTTCTAGACTAAAATCCTTAATGAAGCATTTCAAAATATCAATGTCTTTATAAATTTAAATCATTGATATTTTCACAACGCGAAATTCTAAATAAATTATATGCAGCATAATTTAAATGAATAATTTTGTATAAATTAACTTTTATCTATCATCACATTTATAATTCAACCAGATATTTACAAATGAAAGAGATGCCGAGTAAAAATTCCAGTTCTAATATTTTGAAATAAAATATACAAGAATTTTTATACATAAATGTGATCAATAATTTCATGAAACTTCTGGACTTTCGAAAATTTCCCAATCGCGGTTAGCAAAAAATCCGGTCTTTTTCCAGAGCACAATCATTTCTGATTTATTAAGCTTTATTTACCAGATAGCCATAATTTGTTTTGTGACTCTATTTTTAAAAATAATTCTTACCAGCCTAATGAATAGAATTATTGAACTGTAATTATGTCCAATTTAAAAAAAAATTTTTTGAATACATAAAAAAAACTCTTTAGCTACAGAAAAGTTACAATAATAGATGAACTTATCTCAAAATAAACATTAGAGAGATACTTCCCCCCCCCCAAATTTAATACAAATTAATCTTCTCTGAATTCATGAAAACTTATGGAACTGTTTTTGTTTTATTTATTTTATAGCTGGTGTTAAACAGTTATCACATTTTTGGGTCTAAAACTATCAATCAACAGTGTAGCCTTGAAATTCTGGGTCTGGGCGACCTGAAAATTGGGTCAGCTGTACAAAGAAGGTTATAAAATATTCAAAATGCTGGGATATTTTTCACTAATTTTGCACATTGATAAAGTTTACACTTATTTAATAATAGATTGAACTCCTTTAATTTAAAATAATTATTGAAATGATAGGGAATGTTGTCAGCAACTGAAGAAACAAAGCATATGAAAAATGTAATCTAAAATACTTACTCATAGCTGGGGGAAAAAAAATCGGAATTAAGTATGGGTGATAATTATTAATAAAAATAAGAACATATTCAGGGTTGCAGCTCAAATCTGGAAGAAAAAAAATTTCTTGTGCTTTCCCTGTAAATACATTATAGTAAAAGGAAAAACACAATCACTGAAGCTCTTGTATGTGCTGTATTAGGCTAACTATACTACTTATAATTGCTGAAAATGGAACAGATGAATATACTTAAAACAATTAGTAAATGAACTACCCTGTGGCAGAATTTTTTCGGACTTTCTGTGACAAACTTCTCTAACACTAATATATTTTGCTCTAACATACTTTTAATTATAACAATTAGAAATTCAAAGTAACAAAAACGCTGTATTTACAGAAGCAAGTATGGAATAAAAATGTATAAAAATTTTAATTGTAAAAGTAATATTTTTGTAATTTTAATACTATAGGCGATATTCTCGCATTTTGTAGGTGGAAAAATGCACTAATTATTTCCTCTTTCGAACTTTGTAAATCATTACACAAATTAAAATTCGTAAATAAATTAAACGATAATAAATAAAAATTTGTAAATAAATTAAAAATCGTAAAATCTGTGCAAAAACTCCCAAAATAAAGATCGACGATGAAATCACATGAATAGGACTGCTTAAAACAGTGATACTCAAATAAGTTTATGTTTCGCGTTTTGGGAATTTTTTTATTTTATATTATTAATTTGAAATTCTAGCTAAAAAGCCAGTCATTATCGATTTTTAAAAAAATCACAAATGAGAATAGAAAAATATGATTATTTCTTTCCTCTCTGATGCGCAAGAAAGACATCTTTGAAAAAAAAAATTCTGCAGAAAAAAGAAGAAAAAAAACATTTTTCGAACATTTATGCAGAAATGAAAACCAAAATTCTCAGATGAAAAATCTTTCTGCAAAAACTCTAACATTCTGTGACAATGTCGCCGCAATTCTGCACCCGGGATGAACTAGTTTAATATGGCTGAAATATCATCCTAAAATATTCCATAGATAACACTATAAGCGGTATCCATTTTTTAAAAGACAAAAATAAGAAACAAAGTTCCCTGTATTTTCCCAGTTTCTAAAGAAAAACTGAAAATTCCCCGCTTATTTTAAGTGATTTTTAAATTCCCTGCATTTTCCAGATTTTCCCTGCATAGTGACAACTCTGATAGTATGCAATTAGATACAAAATATAAAAAGGAAAAAGAAAAACACAAAAGAGATGTTATAAGACTAGAAGTACAAACACAGGCCTTCCAAACACAATATTATAATGATTTTACTTACGGATTTCTAACTCTGTATCTACAGCTGAAATCAAATAAAAATGGCATAAATAGTGTGAAATTCCTGTACAGATTTAACTGAAAGAAGCCATTCCAAAATCTGGCATTAGATTCCAAAGTAAAAAAGAAAAAAAAAAAAAAAATTAAAGAATGAGATTTAAAAATTATTCATAAAACAAATTTAGAAACTAATAACGTTTTCACTTAAATGTCGTGACATGGGTAGAAAGTATCTTGAAATGATAGAATGTCACAAAGAATGATAGTAACTTACAAAGTTTCAATTAAATAAGAATTTACGATAGCATGAGAATAAACTAATATGAATGACTTATCAAAACTGATTATAAAAAGCTCATTTTAATTAATAGAACCACAAAGTTTAATCAGTGAATGATCCCCTAATAAGCCACACTGGACAACATCTAATCTCAATCTTTATCAATCCATGGATATAGTTTTATTTTACTCAATTTTGTACAGTTTGCAGCAGAAAATTTACAGCAATATTATTGTTTTTTTTTTTTGTCATCTACAAGGGATAAAATCAAACCTGGGCTGCAATGAACATTGTTAGTGGTTCCTTCTGAATTCTCATTTGACTAATGTTTTTTTAATGGGCTTATAGTTTATTTATTCATTTACAGCAAATGAAAGGCTTTAACAATAAAGTCATTACCTTTCTGGCTTCCAAATGTTTCTGAACAATGCCATTAAAACTATGAAATGCAAGCATCAAAATGGCAACTGACCATTTAGAAGAGTTAAGTGTCACAAAGACAGCAAGACGGAGAGTCCTCAAATTCAATTCCCCTAGCTAATGTACTCAACTCCAATTTCAATATTATCATTGATTCCATTGTGAGGATAAGTTTAGCAGAAAAGTGAAAGGTTTGGTTTTTACAAAATTAAAATTTGTACAAAACCACAAAATTAAACAGCGGTACCTTTCTTGGTGAGTTTATCAGTACAGTTGATTTTTGATACGGTGATATTAGTTGATACGGTGATTTTTAGTACAGTTGTAATATGAAATCTAAGCAAATAATAAATGAATACTTACTTGAATCTGTTTCAATCAGTAAAGGTTCATCTTTTATTTTCATAGCTATAGTGTCAAAAGCATCTGAGCCATCCCCTGGGATTGAATTATTGCCCTAAGACACATTCAGTAAGAATTAAATAAAAACACTTAATAGACATTTTAAGTTAAAGTGAACTATATATATATTGAGTGCTCCTTTTGAGTGCAATTTTTTGAGTGATCCTCACACTATTGTATTAATATATTTTGCTTTGGTTACATTGATACAATATCAGAAAGCACTCTATTTTGCGGATATAATCGTGTGAGCTGATGAAAAGATTATAGCTTTTATTTTCCGTTTTTTTTTTTAAAAAAAATTTCATACTTTTTTTTTCTTTAATCAGTTGTTTGTTATTTTTTTCATTATTATTCCCCCCCTCCTTTTCATATGTCCATAATTTTCCTTTGTTTTATCTTCATTTTGAACTTATCTAATGAGCTCTGTTTACTTGCAGCTTATGGAATTATTATAAATGAAACTTATTGTTTTTCTTAACTTTCTTCGTGTTTTCTTGTATTTATTTATTTTGTTGTATATATATATGTATATAGCAAAATGTAATATTTTGAACAAATTTTAATGCACTTTTACAGATGTTCCCTGATTTAGAGAATATTTGGAACAATGTTTTGAAAATATGCTTATTTCAGAGCATTTTAAAGACTATCCAAGACAAAGTGAGCCACAATTGTAACATGTTTGGAGCAATTTTGGGTAAAGATGTCTTGTTTTGAAGTAAGTAGAATGAAGCAACAATTTCATAAATATAACATTTAAGCTATTTATGGAATAAGTAGCTTGAAAAAAAAAGTAAAAATTTTTAACATAAACTTCAACTTTATAAAAAAATTATTTCATTCTTGAACTAAATTATGAATAGCAGAAAGTAATAAATTCATGTGAAAGAGCTGATTCCTGATTCCATTCTGCAAGATAAAAAGTTAGGACCAGGGTTGGCAAGTTTTTGACACATGACGGTTTTTACCGTCATGTCAAAAACCCATAGTTTTGGTAAAACTGTATTTTTATTACAGTGCCTGCCGCTAATAAAATCAGCCACTTTATAAAATCAAATTGGCAAGAACCGAATCGTTACAATATTATAACATGTTAAAAACATCCTTTAATAAAATCAATGCCGCCGCTTTTTAAAATCAAAATTTTTACTACATAATAAATCAAAAGTACAATATTTCAGCTTTTTTTTGTTCTTATTTATAAAATTTTATTTTTTTGAAGTTTAAAGATTTTTTTAGAAGAAGCAACAGTTACTCACAAACCTGTGAAACAGGTGTGGTTAGCACTTTCCTGTGATGTACATAGTGTAAGAGTAAAGGAAAAATGTGGGTGGTAAGCAGCGAGTCCATAGAAGTCAATGTCAATTTCTTGACTTGAATGAAGTTTCGAGAAACCTATTTTACTAAACAGGGGGTCAAATTCTTATCTTACTTTTTATTGAATGAACCATAGAAGGGAGAGAAGTTTCTTTTGTTATCTATCTTAACAGAGAACATGAATAGATTTCCAAAAACTGTCTGTGCACATGTTCCATATTATTTAAGCTGTTTGAGTAAATTATAGTTAGAGCACATATCATTTTTAAGTTCGTTTGGTGTTAAATTTTATCAGCATGCCGAAAAGGAAGGATTTGAGTCTTAAAGATAAATTCGAAGTGTTGCAAAACTATGATAAGCTTCCTAAATGTAGTCAACGTGAAGCTTCAATGGAGATGGGGCTCATAATTGTTTCGAAGAAATGATCAGCAAGGAAGAAAATGAAATGGAC